GGCTCCCACCTTTAAGAATTTTTTTTTTTTGAGACGGACTGTCACTTTGTCGCCCAGGCTGGAGTGCAGTGGCAGGATCTCTGCTCACTGCAAGCTCCGCCTCCCGGGTTCACGCCATTCTCCTGCCTCAGCCTCCTCAGTAGCTGGGACTACAGGCGCCCCCCACCATGCCTGGCTAATTTTTTTGTATTTTTAGCAGAGACGGGGTTTCACCATGTTCGTCAGGATGGTCTTGATCTCCTGACCTCGTGATCCACCCGCCTCGGCCTCCCAAAGTGCTGGGATTACAGGCGTGAGCCACTGTGCCCGGCCCCTTTATGAACGCTTAACCTGTCTCTTCTCATTCCTTTGTCACCACCGGACTTCGGGTACCCTACGGGTGATGTTGAGGCTGGTCCCCAACAAGAGAACATTTGGTTTTCTGTTCCTGAGAACAAGACATTTAGATAAAAATCAGTTCTGCTCCTAAGAAGCATTTTGTTACCCATACGGGTGCTCACCAAAAAGACTCCAGTGCTGACCCAAGAAACACAACCACCCAACTGCGCTTGCTAAATGCAGACTAAGATGTTTTCACTCCAGAACAAGCAGATACGTGACTGACAGCCTCCTTACGGAGCCACGAGAAACGTCCCACAGCGATGCAGACACGGCCTAGACCGAGCCTCCGCGCGTGCTGCTTCTGCTCTCAGAAGACGGTGAATCACAGGAAACAGTGTCCCGCTTTCCAGACTCCGGTCAAGGCTAACACTGCCCAAGGGCAGATTCCCAGGTCAATGGGCCATGACATTCTCGGCAGATAGATGAATGTTTCGCTGTTTCCTTGTGGTTTGGCCCAGCCAACCCCACACATTCCACTGACTCGGGCCACACTATGCAGGCCCGACACGACCAGATCTGCTTCCTGTTCAGGTTTCCTGAGCGCACTGCATCTGAGAACAGCCCCAGCCCAATCTACACATCAATGGGCCCAATCATGGGGTGTCCGAGGAACCATATCGCCCACAAGCAACAGGGTAACTGACTGTTGTGCCGGACAACTTTGTTGGCTGCTGGGAGGGGACAAGATAACCGCAGCCTGGACTACGCAGCTCAGGCAAGTGGCCTCAGGCCTCATGCAGCCGTTCCCCGCGGGGCACTTCCCATGGGTACCTCCAGGCTGCTCTCCATCAGGCTCCTTCTCCAGGATGCCCTCCGTCTCGCGCCCCTCTCCTCCAGGATGCCCTCCGTCTCGCGCCCCTCTCCTCCAGGCTGCCCTCCATCATGCGCCCCTCTCCTCCAGGCTGCCCTCCATCTCGCGCCCCTCTCCTCCAGACTGCCCTCCATCTCGCGCCCCTCTCCTCCAGGCTGCCCTCCATCACGCATACCTCTCCAGGCTGCCCTCCGTCTCGCGCCCCTCTCCTCCAGTTACAGATATCTCAGACTCCACAAGGCAAGAGGCAAGGCCCTTTCATCCCCTTCTGAAGACTCAAATAGACGGGAGATTATGTAAACCTATTGTTAAACCTTTTAAAAGTTCAGGATTTTGTGCTCACCACTTCTTAAACATGATACATCTTTTTGGTTAAGTTACATAAAAATATTTTGTCCCTCTAGTATACAACCTTTCCAGATGGCACACATGAATGAAAACGGGGGATATTTTGTTCTTAAGTTTTGATTACTACATGGGACACAAATAACAGAAAAACAAAACAAAACTGGCACCTGGGGAGGCTCAGGGAAAGGGGAAAAATAATAATGATCTTTATTTTTCAGACCTGCTCCTAAAAGCTTTCTACTCCTCCTAAAAAACCAAACACAAGAACTCCTCATGCTGCCTTTCCATGGACTGTGGCTGCTGTGGACTTGGACCAGCTGCTGAGCCCACACCTCGGCTTCCTGAAGGTGCTGAGGAGGAGAGGCAGAGGACTGCCTCGGCTCCCGGGCTCTTTGCAGAACTCCTCCAGAGACTGTGCACACTCTGATAAGGAGTGGACTAACAAACTGGTGTCACGGATAAACAAAATGGTTTGGAACTTAGTCCCAGGCAGGCCCTCTAAAGCCAAGGCCTACACCCAATGATCCAGACTGGACAGAGGCCCGACCATGGGGAGGCATGTTGGATCCCTGTTAACCTCACAACCTGAGGCGTGCGTGCGTGCCCAGCTGGGGCGTCTGACCTTGTGACGTTCTTTGTTTCTAGAGGACCACGTGTGCCCTCTGGGATTACACTGAGGACCTGTCTCAGCCTGGAAGACATTCAGGTCATGTTCAACTTTCTGGCCAGAGTTCTGCTGTGCCTGAATTGATGCCTCAGGCCAGGTAAAGAAGATGCACACAGATTCTTCTGGCTCTCCAGTGGGCTGTGAGGCATCTTTCCTGGCATGGCGACTGCTGAGGTGACTGCTGAGGCCATGTTCAGTCCTCCAGACCCGACCGTCTTGCCTGGAGTGGCGTCATCATAGCCATGGTCTGCTGTTGCCTCAGACGATTTACCTGGTTATTGTCATGGCCTCTCAAAGTCTGACCTATTGGGGTCCACGATGAGGTAGCCTGTTTCACACTTAGGTCCTAACAAATCAAGGAGTGGAGTCAAGGAGTTCAGCTCCTGGTTAAAACCCATAGTGCATGTTCAGGTGTAAGCACAGGCAATTACCAAGGCTTTACCCGGCAGGCCTCGGGGGAAAACTGCCCTCCCAACAGACCTGGTGCACGGCCAGAGCACTCTGGTCTCTGAGGGGAGCTGCAGTCAGGGGTCGTGATCTCACACGTCTGCCTTCTTACCCAGGCACCTGCACTCCAGTCTCCTGAGGCCTTTCTCAGGTGCTAATGCAAGACCTCCTCATTGGGGTTGGGGAGAACCCTGAAGACACTTTTCCCCACTTTGACTCAGTACCTGGTACTTTTCTACTCCCAGCTCCTCCCTCCCTACCCCAGGGTCCAAAAAAACTGCTGGAGCTTTTTGTTCAGTGCTCCCTCGGCTGAGGGCAAAGAGTCAATCCCCACATCTGCCTGACACAACTGGCTCTTTGTCAGAGGCATTAGAACCAAAGTGACTCCATCTTGAGTGAGGGCAAATGAGGCTGGAACTTGCTGGGCAGCATTGCCAGGATGTGAGGTATTCCCGGCCTCTAGATGTTTACTGTTAAGGGAAAAGATTAATAATGTTTACTAAACAGACCCATGCCCAGGAATGTCCTGATGTCCCCATGTCTTGAGAACAAAAGCATTTCTAATGTTGCTTTAAAGATAATAACATTGACCGGGCGCGGTGGCTCAAGCCTGTAATCCCAGCACTTTGGGAGGCTGAGACGGGCGGATCACGAGGTCAGGAGATCGAGACCATCCTGGCTAACATGGTGAAACGCCATCTCTACTAAAAATACAAAAAACTAGCCGGGCAAGGTGGTGGGCGCCTGTAGTCCCAGCTACGTGGGAGGCTGAGGCAGGAGAATGGCGTGAACCTGGGAGGCGGAGCTTGCAGTGAGCTGAGATCCGGCCATTGCACTCTAGCCAGGGTGACAAAGCGAGACTCTGTCTCAAAAAAAAAAAAAAAAAAAGATAATAATATTGATTCTTATAAAATATAGTAATTAAGAAAATCAATCCTTTATCACAAACCCTTGTAGCTGAGCACATCTCCCTGTGACCGTCGTCGTTGTTGTCCTACGTATAAATGAGCCTTGTACCTAGGGCGGGCGCCTTCCTCCTCCTGCTTTCGGGAATGCCCTGCTCTGCCTGTGGAGTAGCCATACTTTACTCCTTTATTCATTTAATTTTTTGAGACAGCGTCTCGCTCCATTGCCCAGGCTGGAGTGCAGTGGTACCACTCCTGGCGTAGGACTGAACATCAAAAAAAGAAAATATTAGGAAGAAAGGAAAGGAAGTAGGGAAAGGGTGAGAGGAGAGAGGCTAGTAGGTGGTAAGAATTCCCCTGAAAGGTGAGGGGACACCACAGTCTCTTTTCTAAGTCAACAAAGTATGGAAACAGCTGAACGCAGATCCCTGCATGCCAAGCCTTTGCCAACAGGAGCGGCATTTCTACCCAAAACACATCAACATTCCAGTGGAGAGAATACTTATGGACACCATTTAAAGGTTTCGTAATGATCAATTCTGCCAGATGATTTAAGTTTCTTTCCTAAAACTGAAATCTAGGTAGGATGTACACTCAAGACCTCATCTCAGTCCCTGAAGAAGGTAGGATGTGCACGCAAGACCCATCTCAGTCCTCGAAGAAACTGTGTTCTGAATTCTTTTTTTTTTTTGAGATGGAGTCTCGCTCTGTTGCCCAGGCTGGAGTGCAGTGACCCAGTCTCAGCTCACTGCAAGCTCCGCCTCCCGGGTTCACGCCATTCTCCTGCCTCAGCCTCCCGAACAGCTGGGACTATAGGCGCCGGCCACCACGCCCGGCTAATTTTTTGTATTTTTAGTAGAGATGGGGTTTCACCGTGTTAACCAGGATGGTCTCGATCTCCTGACCTCGTGATCCGCCCGTCTTGGCCTCCCAAAGTGCTGGGATTACAGGCGTCAACCACCGTGCCCGGCAGGATCCCATTTCTTATTGATCTCTTCCAACTTTAAGACTTTTGTATGACTCTTTTTCTAACTCTTCCACCCCGGTTGGAGTGCACTGATGTAATCCCAGCTCACTGCAATCTCCATCTCCTGGGTTCAAGTGATTCTCATGCCTCAGCTTCCCGAGTAGCTGGGAGGCTAATTTTTGTATTTTTAGTAGAGACGGGGTTTTGCCATATTGGCCAGGCTGGTCTCAAACTCCTGGCCTCAAATGATCTGCCCTCCTTGGCCTCCCAAAGGGCTGGGATTACAGGCGTGAGCCACCATGCCCAGCTGAGACTTTTGTATAATTCTATAATCTACTATGTGCTTCTTTTGACATCTTCTTTCCCAAGCTTATATTTTCTCTTATTTAAATGTATTTAGACCCTTCTGTGTGTTGCAGAGATTTCCATAAGCCTCATCACATCCACAAAACAGAGGATAAACCGATAACCCACCTGTGACTGGATCATTTTCCACTGCTCTTGGGAAACCCGCTGTTTTGTGACTTCTCTTAGTCCTGACACCCTGCAGTGGTCTCTGGTCAGTGGTCTGTAAACTGAGAATGCATTCTTGGTCTTGTGGGCTCTTCTTTCTTATCTCACATGAATTGTCTTGTTCCAGAGGGTTACTGCCTGTGGATGCAGTAGACATTTTATTTTAGATGATCTAATTAATTTGGAAACCTAAATCTTGGTGTTCTCTTGCTGGGAGCTCAGATTATTTAAAGCCTCAAACTAGATGTTGGGTAGGTTCACATCAGGGCTAGCAGGTGGGAAGCAGGGTGGAATGTGAGCTACTGGCATGTCTCCATCGGGTCTGACCTGCATCTAGGCCAGGTCTGCAGCACACACTGAACTTAACCACCCTGGCTCCACCCACAAATGCCAGATGGAAACCACTCACCCAGCTGGTTCAAGCAGACACCTCCAGAGGAGCACCCCTACGCCGAGCTGCTCAGCACCTCCAGAGGAGCACCCCTACACCGAGCCGCTCAGCACCAGGCATCAGCGCACCTCCAGGAGCACCCCTCCGCGAACCGCTCAGCACCTCGCCGAACCGCTCCAGCACCTCCAGAGACACCCCTACGCCGAGGCACTCAGCACCTCCAGAGGAGCGCCCCTACACCCGAGCCGCTCAGCACCTCAGAGAACACCCTACACCCGGGCAGCTCAGCACCTCGCCGAACTGTCAGCACCTCCAGAGGAGCACCTCTATACCCGGCCGCTCCAAGCACCTCAGAGGAGCACCGCCGAGCCGCTCAGCACCTCCAGAGGAGCACCCCACACCGAACCGCTCAGCACAGACATCATGCAGCTCTGGAAATGCAACGAGGGCTTATTCATTCCGCAGAAATATTTCCTGGAGGTACCTACATCAAGTTATTTGTGTTAAGTGCTACAGAGTAAAATGCAACTTATTTCTAGGCAGGGTGGTAAACAGAAAATGGCCTTTAGATGGAGATGGTGAATCAGCCTGGGGTTCTGGCTCCCTACCCCCAAATCAGCCAGGAACAAAAGGAAAACATAGATCAGAGGAACGAATATAAGAGTAAAAAAAGAAAAAGAGACACCCCAGGGCAGACGCAGGGTGGGGTGAAGCTGAGGCATGGGTTTGAGGCTGAGCAGGGCCTGGCTGCAGCCGACAGTAGATGGGAGCCACAGGGGGCAGCAAGACACAAGGCAGGGCGTGTCTTACGTTGCCTCTTCCCCAGTTCACACTGGAACAGACACCGCCGGCACTTTCTTCAGAAATCAGCAGTAACAGCCCAGGCTGCTGGTTTCCAAGGTGTACCTGACGCAGACCCCAATCCCTGCAGAACCGAGGAATCATGGAGGGGTAAGGGCTGCAGCTGTTCTTTGGGTATTTTCTGACCTCCTGCCTCCAGCATCCCACGGCTGGGAGTGTCAACTCTCGAGCAGCCCGGAATGGGGGCAGCTCAGAGCTGGAAGAGGGGGCACGATTCCCAGGTCTCCCCTTGGTCCTGGGCCCCTGAACGCCCCTCTGCTTCAAATCATCAGAAGTTTCAGAGACTAAAGCCTGGCCTTCAGCCTTTCTCCAACACGCATCTCCAGACAATGTGGGGAAGCAGCTGATACCCCGAGGGGAACGTGAGCTCACAGGCCTGGAAGAGCAAATATAGATTTAAAAGGAGGAAAAATCTCTAATTTTCCCTCATACCAAACAGAGAAAGAGATTCACCCCCGTTTGTTTGTTTGTTTGTTTTTTAGGAGGCTCAGTTTTGCTCTTGTAGCCCAGGCTGGAGTGCAGTGGCATGATCTCGGCTCACTGCAACCTTCGTCTCCAGGGTTCAAGCGATTCTCCTGCCTCAGTCTCCCAAGTAGCTGGGATTACAGGTGCGCGCCACCACGCCTGGCTAATTTTTTGTATTTTTAGTAGAGACGGGGTTTTGCCATATTGGCCAGGCTGGTCTCGAACTCCTGACCTCAGGTGATCCACCCGCCTCGGCCTCCCAAAGTGCTGGGATTACAGGCGTGAGCCACCATGCCCGGCCACATTCTTTTTTTGAGACAGGGTCTTGCTGTCACCCGGGCTGGAGTGCAGTGGCATGATCTTGGCTCACCACAGCCTCGACCTTCCTGGACTCACGTGAATTCTCCCATCTCAGCCTCCTGAGTAGCTGGGACCACAGGTGTGCGCCACCACACCCAGCTAATTTTTGTATTTTTTGTAGAGACGGGGTTTTGTCTTGTTGCCCAGGTTGGCCTTGAACTCCTGGGCTCAAGTGATCCACTGGCCTCAGTCTCCCGAAGTGCTGGGACTACAGGTGTGAGCCACCGTGTCCGGCCTCGTCGAACTTTTATTCAATGAGAAAATTTTTTTTTCTTTATTTTCTACTTGTGTGGAGAGGTCTTCTGGGTTGGCAGATTTTAGGTTTATTTCCCCAACAGGCCAAATAATCGGGTAACTAAGCATAACCATTATTTTAAAAACTTTTTCAAAGACCACAAACTGCACAAAAGATACCATCTTAGGCAGAAGATGGAAAAGACTGACCAAGATTGAAAATAAGCATAATGGCCGGGCGCGGTGGCTCAAGCCTGTAATCCCAGCACTTTGGGAGGCCGAGATGGGTGGATCACGAGGTCAGGAGATCGAGACCATCCTGGCTAACACGGTGAAACCCCATCTCTACTAAAAAAAAATACAAAAAAATTAGCCGGGCGTGGTGGCGGGCGCCTGTAGTCCCAGCTACTCGGGAGGCTGAGGCAGGAGAATGGCGTGAACCCAGGAGGCGGAGCTTGCAGTGAGCTGAGATAGTGCCACTGCACTCCAGCCTGGGCGACAGAGCAAGACTCCGCCTCAAAAAAAAAAAAAAAAAAAAAAAAAAAAAGAAAATAAGCATAATGAACTCAAGAAGTACCACATCCTGGTGTATGTGAATGCTTACACTTTAAATTTCTTCACTGCCCGTGGACCAGGCCACTTAGATGAAGCCACACATGGAGTCAGAGCCAAAGAATCCAAGGGCATGCAGCTGCACAGCGATGCTCTTTCCTTCATCAGAATGAGTTTGAAAGGAAATGTCCAAAAAAAGTTTCCTGTAAACTTGGGGACAAGAGGAACCGAAAATCTACCTTACATAACAATCCTGCCAAGCAACATTTATCCAGCAATCACCGTCTACACCTCGGGGTGAAGCCACGTGGCCCAGGAATGGTTGCCGAGCAGCGCCGAAGCTCCCAGGGCTGAAGCAGGTGACTCCCGAGCACACGGCAAGGGCCCCACAGGCAAGGGGCTAATCAACTAGCCAGGAAGATACTGAGTGGCACAAGGCCAGCGGCACCTTTCCAGAAAGTGAGGTAAACTGAGCGAGAAGACCTACAGCAAGGGCCCTTTTCTCATCTTTGTCTGTCTTCACTGTCCCACAGAAAGAGAGTAAGCAATGACGGAAGTGTCCACTCCCCTGCCTCAAATGAGGGAGGAAAGTTAGGACTGGATATTAGCAAATGGCCGGGTTTTTCCCCAGGGCAACTGAGAAAAGAGTAGAGGCAGACGCCACCCCTCTGTGCAGTCTCCCACTTACCCCAGAGGCAGGCTGAGAATTAGACAAGGGCAGTTCCCAGGTGACCTCACGCTCAGGAACCCCACGGTGCACAGCCAGCAGCATCCACACCTGCAGGGCACAGGAGGCGGGGACCAGCGTAGCTCGCGCCTGGCACCTGCGGAAGCAGACATCAGCGTAGCCTGATTGGGCCACTGCACTCCAGCCGGGGAAACAGAGAGACCCTATCTCAAGGAGGAGGGAGAGTATGAGGGAAAGAAAGGAGGGAAAAGAAAGAGAGAGAAAGAGAAAAAAGAAAATCCCAAATAAAATGGAGCATACTCCTTTTTCATTATTGTAGTCACAATATTGTTAAGATGAATTCTCTTCCCACCAGCGCTCTCCGACAAAATCCTCAAATTAATTCTTTCGTAGATGTTGACAAACTGTTTCTAAACCTCTGAACTGTAAATGTACCCCTGAATAATAATGAATCCTGAAGAATTTAACTTCCAAACCAGCTTTTAAAAAGTTGCCAAAAGAGCACGATCTCTGCAAAAGAATGGGCATTCTTTCACATGAACAATATCATTTTATCTTATTTTTAATTTTTTTTCAGGGTGTTGCTGTCACCCAGGCTGGAGTGCACTGGCACCATCATAGCCTACTGCGGCCTCAAATTCCTGGGATCAAGGGATCCTCCCACCTCAGCCTCCCGAGTAGCTGTTACTACAGGTTCCACCACGCCTGGCTGAACAATATCATTTAAACTAAGCTACACAGAATGTATTAATACAATCACAGGCAAGGATCCTGTTTCAAATCGTGTTAGGAAGCTGCAGAATTGAGGCCAGCCAAAACACATAAATCAAATCACATACATTTCTAGCTTTAATTTGCTTCCTATTTTCGTAGATGGTGATTTTCTATAATGAGCAATACATGAGGTGGTCTCTTATAATAACTAGATTCTATAGAGATGTAAATTGTATCAGCAGTCGTCTGGTGTAGAATGCCACTTCCATCACAGCTGCTGAACACAGTGTTATCTACAATCAATTAAAAAATATATTTCAAAAGCCAGTTTCCCCAATATACCAAACGTCAACATTCACTGATGTACTGAAAACTTGTATTTGCCAACAATAGATTTTAGGGTAATTCATATTAAGATAGGATGGTTTTTTAATACTATTTGAGGATAGCTGGTGGGAAGTTTTTGGTTGAGGAGGTTCTATTTTGTTTGGAGTGGGTCCATTAAAAAGATTGTTATTATTGTTGTGAGTGTGGTGGCTCATGCCTATAATCCCAGTACTCCGGAGAGGCTGAGGCAGGAGGATGGCTTGAGCCGTGCTCTGAGTCCAGCCTGGACAACCTAGGCAGACCTCATCTCCAATAAAGATACAAAAATCAGCCTGATGGTGCAGGCACGTACCTGTAGTCTCAGCTACTTGGGAGGCTAAGGAAGGACCACTGAGTCCAGGAGTTGAGGGCTGCAGTGAGCTATCATGGCACCACTGGACTCCATTGAGTGATGAGACTTCCTCTAATAAATAAATCAATACATAAATGAAAAAACTTAAAAAGATGGTTATTTGTTGACTGTCAGGGTGATTATTCTTCTAATGAATAGAATATTTACTAACAAGTGTGACACCTTTGTCATCATAATCTAATTTAGTTATAAATTGCAAAAAAATTGAAATAAAATCATAAACTAAACCAGGAAAACACTGACCTGCTAAAAAAATAGAATCTGTAAAACTACTCAGAAAATACTTGCTATAACAGATTACTGTCTCTGCTAAAGGGTCCCATGAGGACAGATTTCTATGAATAGATTTAACAGTTAAAAATTAGACTAAAGAGCAGATAATTCAGATTAAGTAAAGCAAAAGCAACATAGGATTCAGATGAATACGACACCATGGTGAGACAAAATCTTTAAAGCACAGACAAGTGGTTTTGATGTAGAAGCCTATATTTTACTGAGTTAATTACTCACTGACGCGTAGTTCCCTTTTTCAGCAGTGATTTCCAGTCCTCTCTACAGAAGCCAGTGCAGGAGGAGCACGATCGCGTCGTCCCGGCCTCGCGTCCACCGCCCCAGTCCCGGTCCCTAAGCTGCTTCGCCGCCGTCCTGAGAAACGCCAGACGGTTTTCTTTTAAATTATACTAAGTTCTGGGGTACATGTGCAGAACGTGCAGGTTTGTTACACAGGTATACACGTGCCATGGTGGTTTGCTGCAATCTATCCACCCATCATCTACATTAGGTATATCTCCTGATGCTCCCTCTCCTGGCCCCCACCTCGACACAGGCCCTGGTGTGATGCCTCTCCTGTGTCCATGTTTCTTTCTTATTTTTTATTTTATTTACTTATTTTTTTTTGAGATGGAGTCTCGCCCCATGGCCCATGCTGGAGTAAGTGGCAGACACTCAAGCTGAAGCGATTCTCCTGCCTCAGCCTCCTGAGTAGCTGGGATTACAGGCATCGCCACGCCACGCCTGGCTATTTTTTTTGTATTTTAGTAGAGACGAGGTTTCACCATGTTGGCCAGGCTGGTCTGGAGCTCCTGACCTTGTGATCCGCCCGCCTCGGCCTCCCAAAGAGCTGGGATTACAGGAGGAGCCGCGCCCGGCCTCAGACTCCTTTCTCTAGGAAGCCGCCGGATGAACCCAGCCCCCATGGGAAATTGAGAAATAACGAATTGGCCAATTTCTGTAGGGAAAGATACAGACTGTAACACGTCTTCTGGGAATGAAAGTCTGCTAAATCCTGCCACGAGTAGATGAACAGCATTTCAAGTTTGTATTTAAGAGGAAAATGCCAACGGCTAATAAATGACTCAAGCGCTGATGAAGCGGCGACCCAGGAGGGGCTGGCCTGGAACGGAACCAAGACGCCCGCTGGAAAACGGAGTGGTGCCGGGCCGGGGTCGCGCCCCACACGGCGCACCTCAGCGACTACGCGCCCCGGTCTCGCCTGGCGCCGGCGCCTCTCTCGCAGATCGCCGCCTTGCGTGACGCGAGGTCGGGCTCCACCAAGCGCACGCGGGAAGACTCCGCCCGCAGCCCGGCTCCAGTCTGCCCGCGCACCCGGGCGGGGCGGGGCGGGGCGGAGAGCCGAGGCCAACGGCCATGGAGCGCACGCTGCTGGGCAACATGCTGTCTCTGAAACAGACAATAAATTTTAGCCTACGGCTGTGGGGGTCTTGGGGCTTCCTGGCCAATGGGAATAGTGAGGGGCCTGGTCCCTACAACGCATAGGCGAGGTGGAAACTCCAGCAGCGCTGACAGAGCCAGGCCGCCAAGGGCGGAAACTATTACCCGCGAGCCACCCCAGAGCGTCGTGTGCCTTCCTAAACCCACCAGCTTCAGCGTCCCAGCCTCGCCCACTCCCCCCGCCCCGGGCCATCCCCGCCTGTGACGCCTTATCCTCGAGAAGCTGAGCGCACCGGAGCGAGCGGCGGCTGCGGAGGAGGCGCCCGGCTCTGCACACGCCCCATCAGGAAGGCCTAGTGGCGGCAACACCGCTCTGCATTGATTTCCGCTTTACTTTTACTCTTTTCTCTTGGGTTAAAATTCAAACGCCGACCTGAGGCGTCAGAGATGGCGGTCGCACGAGCGGCCCCCGGATGTCGGCGGTGGACTACAGGCCTGAACGGACGGACGGCTGGAGGTGGGGGCCCTCTTGGCCAGGCTGGATCCTCAGCTGTCAGTCACAGGAGATACGCAGGCCTCGTCTTCTGGGGTCTTCTGTGCTTGTGGATGTGGGTCAGGCCGGGTCAGAGAAGGGGGAGGGGGTCTGTGAGGTCGCCAGTGGGAGGCCACTCCCAATGTGATCCCCTCCACCTGCTTCCCTGAGAAGAGCTCGCTGATCCTTCACGAGTCACAAAGCCATCTTTGACGTGAAGACAACTTGATGAAAAAAATCCAAAGTGATTTTATATGCAGCTAAAATATTTATATTAATTTTTTATTGAATATTTCAAATATGTACAGTTCACATATATATATGACTTTGAAAGTACACTAGCGGTCGGGCTTGGTGGCTCACGCCTATAATCCCAGCACTTTGGGAGGCCGAGGCGGGCAGATCAACAGTCATCCTGGCTAATACAGTAACCTTGTCTCTACTAAAATCTCAAAATTAACCGCGCTGGGCGTGGCGGGCGCCTGTAGTCCCAGGCTACTCGGGAGGCTGAGCGCAGGAGAATGGCGTGAACCCAGGAGGGCGTGAGCGCCAGGAGCTGGAGAGATCAGCCACCTGCACTCCAGCGTCTCGGCGACAGAGCGAGACTCCCCAAAAAGAAAAAGTGAAGTACAATGATCAAGGTAAGGATTTCTGAGCCCCCGTCTTTCAACTGCAAACTGCATTCCCATCGCCTGTGCTTGCGAGAGATTACGGCTCTGGCCTGGTAACATTATGGGAGTACAGTGGCGTGGGGACAACCAAACACATGTGGGATAGAGGAATGAGGCAAGGGTATGGTCTAGATAGGCTAGCAGACCTGGAATATGGTTTGCATTGCTTTTTCTTTCAATAATTTAAAGGGGGCTTGCATTCCTCAGATAAACAGACTCTTTAACCAGCAAAACAATGCACAGTAGGTGCGGTGGCTCACGCCTGTAATTCAGCACTGAGGCTGGTGGTGCGTGGATCACGAGGTCAGGAGTTCAAGACCAGCCTGACCAACACAGTGAAACTCCCGTCTGTGCCCAAAAATACAAAATTGAAGGCACGGTGGCATGCGCTTGTGATCCCAGTTATTCAGGAGGGGCTGAGGCAGGAGAATTGCTTGAACCTGGGAGGCGGAGGTTGCAGTGAGCCGAGACTGCGCCACTGCACTCCAGCCTGGGCACAAATCAAGACTCCATCTCAAAATAAAATAAAATATAAATAAATAAATAAATAAATAGGAAGACAAGGTTCTGTGTAGAGGAATCAACCTCAGGTTTGAATGTGAAGTGGGCCTCAGCCCCAGTTCTGGAAACTACGTTAAAAGGAACACTGAAAA